ATTACATCCATCACCCACTCTACCCCCTCTGTAAGTTTGATAGTCTCTGGAAATCACCGTGAGGTTATTACTTTTTATTTATTCGACTCCCCGAGTGCTCCAGTGGTATTGGGGCACCCGTGGTTAAGTAAACACAACCCTCATGTTGATTGGTCAGGGAATTCTGTGTTGTCTTGGAGTCAGTCTTGTCTTGCTGTTTGTCTTGGTCCTGCTCCGTGTCCTGGTTCTGTGTCTCATGTGTTTCAGATGGAGAGGGTGGATCTCTCTGGAGTCCCGGTGGAGTACCATGATCTTCCCCAGGTCTTCAGCAAGTCTCGAGCCACTTTCTTGCCTCCGCACCGGCCATACGATTGTGCCATCAAACTCCCCCCAGGCACTTCTTCGCCAAAGGGTCGATTGCATTCCCTTTCTGCTCCTGAGAGAGAGGCCATGGACAGGTATATCCGAGAGTCTTTAGAAGCCGACCTCATCCGTCCCTCTTCCTCTCCAGCCAGGGCTGGGTTCTTCTTTGTTAAAAAGAAGGATAGTTCTCTGCGCCCTTGTATTGACTACAGAGGCCTTAATGACATTACTGTTAAGAACAGGTATCCTCTGCCTTTAATGTCTTCTGCATTTGAGTTATTGCAGGGAGCCAAGGTCTTTACTAAACTAGACCTCCGTAATGCCTATCACCTGATCCGGATACGTGAGGGGGATGAGTGGAAGACTGCGTTCAACACACCAACGGGGCATTTTGAATACCGAGTTCTACCCTTCGGGCTCACCAATGCCCCTGCAGTCTTCCAGGCCCTGGTGAATGATGTGCTGAGAGACATGGTAAACAGATTTGTCTTTGTGTACCTTGACGATATTCTTATCTTTTCTGAGTCCGGAGATCGCTGGTCAATATCCAACAGCAATTTTGGTGGCCTTCAATGGCCCAAGACGTCAGACAGTTTGTATTGGCTTGTTTTGTATGTGCCCAGAATAAGACATCTAATCGGCCACCCATTGGTCTGTTACGTCCCCTTCCCATTCCCTCTCGACCTTGGTCACATGTGGCTCTTGATTTTATCACTGGCCTACCCCCATCGAGAGGTAACACTGTAATCTTAACAGTGGTGGACCGTTTCTCTAAAGCGGCCCATTTTATCCCTCTACCCAAACTCCCATCAGCCAAGGAGACTGCTCAGGTGGTAGTTGACCACGTCTTCCGGATTCATGGCCTTCCGGTGGATGTGGTCTCTGACAGAGGACCCCAATTTGTCTCTCGGTTTTGGAAAGAGTTCTGTAGACAGATCGGGGCCTCTACGAGTCTGTCCTCAGGTTTTCACCAAATGGGCAAACTGAACGAGCCAATCAGGATCTTGAGAGAAGTCTCCGCTGTCTGGTGTCTCAAAATCCGGGCTCTTGGAGCCAGCAGTTGTCTTGGATTGAATATGCCCACAACTCCCTGCCGGTAGCTTTTACAGGTATGTCCCCTTTCTAATGTTCTGTTGGTTATCAACCACCTTTGTTCCCCGCTCAGGAACTCGATGGCGCTGTTCCGTCTGCCTTGGCCTTAGTCCGAAGGTGTCTTCACACATGGAGGAGGGCTAAGGAGGCCTTGGCCCAGGCTTCCAGACGGACTAAGAGGGCGGCTGACCGCCACCGGACTCCTTCTTCCCTTTTTGTTTGTGGTCAAAAGGTTTGGCTGTCTACAAGGGACCTGCCTCTCCGTGTGCCTTCTCGCAAGCTGGCACCCAGGTTCATTGGGCCATACCGAATCACTAAAGTCTTGAGTCCAGTGGCGGTTCGGCTCAAGCTTCCTTGCACTCTTGGTCGGGTTCACCCTGTTTTTCATGTATCCAGGGTAAAGCCTGTTATCCAATCCCCACTCAACCCTGTTGCTTCCCCGGTTCCACCTCCCCCTCGTCTAGTGGATGGCAATCCGGTCTATACTGTGAAGAGACTCCTTGACCGGAGACGTCGTGGTCGGGGTTTCCAATACCTCGTGGACTGGGAGGGCTATGGTGCGGAGGAGAGGTCTTGGATTCCGGCACGGGATATCTTGGACCGGTCGTTGATCGTGGACTTCCATCGGCGGAGAGGTGAGGCCCTTCTGGGGTCGCCAGGTGGCACCCCTGGGAGGGGGGGGGGGTACTGTTAAGAGTATGGAATGACTTACCTGTTTGCGTTGTCTTTGTGTGTTTGGAGCACGTGGGTTTTGTTTTGACAGCTGGCCACGTGCTTCTTGTCCGCGTGCTTTTTGTTTTCCCGCCTTAGAGACCTGGTAATCAATTTGCGATCCTCTCCTTCACCTGTTGCTGCTTGATTTCTCCCCTATTTAGTCTCCTCTTGTCTCTTGTCTTTCGTCAGTCCGTTTTGCATGCTCATGAGGCTTGTACGTTAATATCTATTGTGAGTAATCTGTCTTGTCGTGTCCTGTTTCCCCAGACTCCAAGCTCCTGCTTGTTTTGGTTTCGTTTTTTCTCTCCCTCCTTTATTTTGATACTTTGTCCTGTCATCCGGCTTGCTGTGGTTTGGTCTGGCTGTCCCATTCTCGCTACTGAATCTCCACCAAGGGAGAACGCCCAGCAGTACCCCGTAAGGCTCTTCTTCTCCGGTGCTGGCCGAGCGTTTGGTATCGCTCTATCGCCCCCTGGCGGTAATATCCGGAACTCACCTGATTCTTTTCATCTCTCCCTCTGCTGCCCAGTGAAGCCTTGGGAGCGCTCTCCTGCCATCTGGTGGTAGCGCCCAGAACGGCGCCGATTTCTGAGTCCAGCTTTTTGAGTTTTGAACTGCCTTTTGAGGATATTTTGTGTGTTTTTGAGAAGAATAAATTTGTTTCACCTGCTATTGAATCTGTTCCCTTTCTACCCTGACATAAACTATATTAAGAAGAGTGTTTGAACATCTCTAGTGTATATGGAGTGTGCAGAAACCTGTTAAATGATTAACATTGTGATTATGAAACTAGTATATAATGTATTTAGTGTTATCCATGAATGATAAAAAGAGAGAAATTGTGGTGGAAATTCATTTATATGATGATCTGTTCTTTTATTCTTCCATGGATGTACTGTTTAAGTTAGATCAAGTGTGACCACTTTAACATATGTGTATCACCAGACAAGATCTGGATAAGTACATGGTGATTTAACAAACTACATGTTTGGATAGGATGTAAGGCTGAAATGTTCAAAAATGAAGTGCTGATGTAACTGTGATTTATCCTGTATGTCACTGATGACCTTGTGGGTATTACAAACTCAATAAAAAGAGAACGCACTCTGTTTCCGCATCTCTCTCTCTGCAGAAAGTGTTGTTGACGTATGACTGTTGACGTATGAGTGACCTTCTTTGCAAAGAATAAAACTTTAAAAAACACTTTGGGTAAGAATTTGTCTTATTGACCACTGAGAGAGCCCCCTTAAAGAAAATTGCCACTACACTTATCTACTTGTGTGTCTTGGTTTTTCATCTGACTGGTTATTTCCTCATGTCTTAAACAGGATGTGACGTGTTTTCCTGAGGTGAAAGAGTTTTCAGATGTGTTGTTCAGCTCAACAGTTCAGCGGAGGAACAGACAGATCTGCAGGCATTATTTGAGGTGAGAGTTTGCTCTTTCTGTGCTTTATATCATCTATAAGTGTCGCCTGATTATCCGTCGATCATCTCTTTGTGTTTCTGAGACTTTACTGCTGAGCTGAAAACATTCTGAGGATTTCATTTACACTTTTTAATGTCGAGTGTGTTTCTGGAGGAGGATCACAGAAAGCAGAAACCTTCTCATTCTGATACTGAAATCTGTGCTTATGAGTGTTTATTAAGCTCAGCACTGTGGACATTTCTTTAGTTATATTATTTTAGTGTTTTGATATGCAGTGGAACACAGTCAAAACAGGAAACAGGCCTGGCACAGTTCGCATAGCATAGTGTGAGTGTGCCCTTAAAAAAGCTACAGAATACGGAAAACTCGCACTGCCATTTATAACATCTGGCCCAAATACTACATTTGACATCTGGCCCATGTCTTGCATGCTGCCTTAAAGACGGTGCCACCTCTGCCAAACCTGGCCAATGTTTGGCCCACACGCTGTAAGCCAGTGCCGGATGAATGCCTGCTCTTCCAGCTTTATAACTAATCTGGGCAAGAATTCTTGCCACCCGGGTACATTCTCAAGCTGCTGCAATGATCATCCAGTTCTTTTCCCATGTCTGCATTAAACAGCATAAACTGAGGTCTAGGTGGCTGTTACGAACCGCACAGTTTTGCTGCGTGTATGTTCTTTGTCTCTCTCTTTCTCTCTCTCTCTGTACCGGCCCTGTCATTTTCTCAGGTTCCGCCTACTTTGGAGCACTATTGGCTGACAGGACTGCCAATCCTAATCAACCGTGTGACGATGACTTCTCTCTCTGCCAATCGCGTTCGTTGCAGAGCCCTTTAAAAACGGAAGCGGCAACGGGGAGAGATCAGCTCTTGTTGTTTTGGCGTGTTGTCTGTTTGGTGGAGTCCGTGTGCGTTGTCGCTGTTACTGATGTGTGGTTTGATTGAGATCTATTGATGTTGACTTTGAGTGAGTAACTGATGACTTTGAGTAAGATTTGTTTGAGAGTTCTGACGTGTGTTTCTACATCTATAGCCCGCTAATGCTCCATTCAAAACCTTCTGTGACTTGACAAGGGAGATCTGGAACAACATAGTAAGTCACGTGACATACATATTTGCACGCAGGATTATTGATGTATAGACACACTAGTTAGCGAAGTGCGCTAATTTTGTATTTTTATTTATTAGTTAGAGTAAGTTCAGGGCGCTTTGCGCTGAAGACTTTTCTTTTCATATTGTTATTTTCTTATTTAGTGGATTGGGGAGGAGATTAAGGAAATGTTTTTGTTATTTATTTCTTTGATTTCCATGCGCAAACTTCAGTTCCCTCTCCTATTTGTCTTGGTTCTTTTCAAATTTATCTTATGGTTTGTAAATATTGTAAATAATGTGGGAGCAATAAATCTTTTGCGGTGCTAATTTGTTGTTTGGTGTTTTCTTTTGCCATTCTTCAACATCAGTTTATACTTTGGTCATCTTTATGTTACTCCTTTTAATACCCTAGACAAATTGCCATCAAGGATCGTAACATGAAATGGGGCCTCGTCCCGGATATTTATCTGAGACATTAAATAAGATCAATTAAGGTAAGATAAAATAAATCATCTGGAATAAATTGAATTCATCAAGAAAATAATTTTAAAAAGTAATTTTTGAAATTAATATTTCTTAAATTTATCAGATGGTAATCTTTGAGAAAAATGACCAAAGAAAAGCTGTGTTGATGGCAACAGAAATTGCTGTATAGTAGTTGACATTTAGGTAAGTTGCAGAAGTAGCAGTTGGCAGCACTTTTTGAGCACGCGACACTTTAATTTAAAATGTTCAGTTTAGAGGAATTTGTTAAGAGTCTTTCATTGGAGCTGCTTGACGTTTGTCGGAAACAAGACTTGTTTTTGATTACTGATCATTTTAAACTGGTAGTTAACAGACAGGATCGTAAAGCTGAAATTAAGCAAAAGTTAACAGAGCAGTTGGTTGAGCTTAATGTTCTTATCACGCCAAATATTGAAATGGATGAGACGGCTGATCATGCAAGCCCTGGTGATGAGGTGGTGACTTCTTTAGATATGGGAGATCAGAACGTGTGTAGTGGCAGTACAGATGCAGAAGCAGGGGTGGAGGCCGCTGTTGATACTAATGTTGGTTTGCCACCGTTTGAACCGTTCTCCCCATTCTCCATAGGTTCACGAGATGATGCGCGACTGAAAGTTCGCATGGCACGTCTTTATTATGATGCGCAAGAGCACACCCATCGGGCTGAAATTGACTTGCGTTTGCAGATACGCAGACTCGAAATCGAGGCTGATACGCAGGTGAGACTGCGCCAGCTCGAGTTGGACGCTTCAAAGAAGGCTGTGGAGGCTATTCAGCCAGTTCCAGCTTCTTCCTCTTCTTCATATGTATCTCCGGTGTCGACTTCATCCACTTCAAGTTTTGACGTGAGTAAGCACATTGCGCTTGTTCCACAATTCAGAGAATCTGAAGTTGATTCTTATTTTAATGCGTTTGAACGCATTGCGACTTCATTGCACTGGCCACCTGAGTTCTGGTCTTTGTTACTGCAATGTAAACTTGTAGGCAAGGCTATGGAAGTTTATTCTACTTTATCACTTGAAGAGAGTTTAAAGTTTGATTCAGTTAAATCAGCAATACTTCGTGCATACGAATTAGTTCCCGAAGCTTATAGACAGAAGTTTAGGACGCATAGGAAAACTTCCAATCAAACTTTGGTGGAGTTTGCTAGAGAAAAGGGCACGCTTTTTGATAAATGGTGTGTAGCTAGTGATGTGGCAGATTTTAAATCACTGCGTGAGCTTGTTCTTTTAGAGGAGATCAAGAATTGTTTGCCTGAGAAAGTGGTAGTTTATCTTAACGAACAGAAGGTAAATTCATTGTCACATGCCGCTGTTCTCTTTGATGAATTCATTTTAACTCACAAGAACATATTTGTTCACTCACGTGTGGAGAATGCACCTGCCGTTGCAATTTTATTTAACACACAGTTTGTGCGCTCAAAAAATAATGCACCAAAAGTTGGCGATGAACGTAACTGTTACTATTGCCATGTAAAAGGTCATGTAATAGTTGACTGCCCCCGACTTAAACGAAAACAACAATCACAAGCTAAACCTGTAGGTTTTGTAAAGACTTTTAATCAGAGTGTGGCTGAAAACTCAAAAGATAAGGTGGAGGAGACGTTCCGTCCTTTTATTCTTAAGGGGTTAATTTCTCTGACTGGTCGTGATGAGGATCAAAAGGAAATCACAATGCTTCGTGATACAGGCTCAATGCAAAGTTTTATTGTTGAAAGTGCGATCAAATTTTCTGATGAGACGTCATGTCATTCTAGTGTAGTAGTGCAAGGAATTGAAATGGGATGTGTAAAGAGACCTTTGCATAATCTGCATTTAAAAAGTGATCTATGTTCTGGACTTGTCCGTGTTGCAGTTTGTTCTTCACTGCCTATGAAGGGAGTAGATTTTATCCTGGGCAATGATTTAGCCGGAGGAAAAGTCATGCCGTTATTAGAAGTTCTGGATGAACCGACAGAATGCACATCTGATGAGGTGGGTGAAGCCTATCCTCATATTTTTCCTGTGTGCACTGTCACTCGTGCGCAGTCGCGCAAAGAGATTGAATTGAATGACTCTTTCTTTCCCTCTGTTGTAGATGGAGAGGAAAATTTGAACTTTGAGAAAAAGAAACCAGAAAAGGTGAGGATTTTGCATGATGTAACTGACAAGAATTCATTGCTTTTAAAGATCACACGAGAAAAATTTATCACTGCACAGAAAGAAGACAAAACATTGACTACACTTTTTAATGCTGCAATTTCACATGATTTGGCCAAGACAAAACAAAGCGCTTACATTTTAGACAACGACTTGTTAATGCGTAAGTGGTGTTCATCACCTGACAAGGCAGAATTGGATGCTTTTTATCAGAGTTGTTCCTGCCCCATATCGCCCACATGTGTTATGCTTGGCACATGATCATCCACTTTCGGGTCATCTGGGTGTAAGGAAAACTTACAATCGGATTTTAAAACACTTTTTCTGGCCTGGATTAAAAAGTGATGTAACTCGTTATTGCCGTTATTGCCATGTTTGTCAAATTGCGGGAAAACCAAATCAGGTTGTTCCACCAGCACCGTTAAAACCCATACCTGTTCTTGGCGATCCATTCGAACATGTCCTTATTGACTGTGTAGGTCCGTTTAAAAAATCCAAAAGTGGTAATCAATTTCTGCTCACAGTGATGTGTTTAGCCACTCGATTTCCTGAAGCAATTCCTTTGAGAAAAGTCACTGCACCTGTTGTTGTTAAGGCATTAGTTAAGTTTTTCTCGACTTTTGGTTTGCCTAAAATAGTGCAAAGTGACCAGGGCACTAATTTCATGTCCAAGCTGTTCAAACAGGTCATGCAAAATTTAGGAATCACACATCGCACCTCCAGTGCTTACCATCCAGAAAGCCAAGGAGCTCTGGAGCGTTTTCACCAAACTTTGAAGTCGATGTTGAGGAAATATTGCATGCAGACTGGTAATGAGTGGGATGAAGGTATTCCAATGCTGATGTTCGCGATTAGAGAGAGTGTTCAGGAGTCACTCGGCTTTAGCCCAGCTGAGTTGGTCTATGGATACCAATTGGATACCTCTTCTTCATATGTATCTCCGGTGTCGACTTCATCCACTTCAAGTTTTGACGTGAGTAAGCACATTGCGCTTGTTCCACAATTCAGAGAATCTGAAGCTGATTCTTATTTTAATGCGTTTGAACGCATTGCGACTTCATTGCACTGGCCACCTGAGTTCTGGTCTTTGTTACTGCAATGTAAACTTGTAGGCAAGGCTATGGAAGTTTATTCTACTTTATCACTTGAAGAGAGTTTAAAGTATGATTCAGTTAAATCAGCAATACTTCGTGCATACGAATTAGTTCCCGAAGTTTACCAGGGCTATGGATACCAATTGCGCGGACCTTTGAAGGTTCTGAAAGATCAAATTCTGGAAACTGACAATTCAAAAACGAATGTTTTAGAGTACGTAACAAAGTTTCGAGCAAGGTTGCAGACCGCTTGTTCAATTGCTAGAGATTCACTTGCCCGTGCGCAAAAAGAAATGAAACGAACATTTGACAAAAAGGCAGTTGCGCGTTCTTTTAAGCCTGGTGACGCAGTTCTTGTTTTTATGCCTATACCTGGTTCTTCACTGTCAGCTAAATTTTTCGGACCGTACGAAGTGAAAGAAAAATTGAGCGAGACTAATTTGTGATCTGAACACCCGACCGAAGACGAAAAACCCGCACTTGTCATGTGAATATGCTTAAACTTTATCATTCGAGGGCACAGGATGATGCTGAGAAAATGACGGATAATGCTGTTATTTCTGTTGTGGCTGTGACAGAAAATCCTGTTGATGCTGATGAAGATGGGCTTATGTTTCCAAGTATTTCTCAGTCTACCGTGAGTTTGTCCAATTCTGAGATTTTAAAAGATCTTAATTCACATTTTAAAAACTTGACTGTTGATCAGAAACGCGATCTTGAGACATTAATTTTTGAATTTAAGTGTCTGTTTAATGATGTGCCAACACTCACAAATGTCATTCAACATGACATTGATGTCAAAGATGCTCGTCCAGTCCGACAGCATGCTTACAGAGTAAATTCTGTAAAACGTTCAGTTATGCAACAAGAGGTTGACTATTTGCTGGATAATGGTCTTGCTAAGCCTAGCTCTAGTCCATGGAGTTCTCCATGTATTTTAGTGCCAAAATCTGATGGTTCTTTTAGATTCTGCACAGATTTTAGAAAAGTGAATGCACTAACAGTTCCTGACAACTATCCACTTCCTAGAATGGAGGATTGTGTTGACAATGTAGGAAATGCCAACTTTGTGAGTAAATTAGACATGCTGAAAGGTTATTGGCAAATACCACTTTCGTCTAGAGCATCTGATATTGCTGCTTTTATCACTCCAGATGCGTTTGCACAATATACGGCCATGGCGTTCGGACTCCGAAACGCACCTGCTACCTTTCAGAGGTTAGTAAACACTGTTTTAGCTGGTATTCCTAATTGTAGCGCTTATTTGGATGATGTTGTTGTTTATTCCAGAGATTGGAGTGAACATTTGAATTCATTACGTGATGTATTTCAACGTTTTGCAAGTGCTTCATTGACCCTTAACTTAGCAAAATGTGAATTTGGTCAGGCGAAGGTGACTTATTTGGGAAAAGAAGTGGGACATGGTCAAATTCGACCTGTGGAAGCGAAGGTTGAGGCTATATCTGAGTTCCCAGTTCCTACGACGCGGCGTGAACTCCGAAGATTTCTCGGAATCGCTGGTTATTATCGCAGCTTCTATAGAAATTTCTCGTCTGTGGTTAGTCCATTAACTTCACTCTTAAGCCCTTCTAAATCGTTTTTGTGGGATGAAAAATGCCAATATGCATTTGAGAGTGTGAAAATACTGTTGAGTAGTTCACCAGTTCTTGCAGCCCCTGATTTAAATCGTCCATTCAAACTTGAGGTTGATGCAAGTAATGTTGGCGCTGGTGCTGTGTTACTGCAAGATGATGAGCAGGGTATAGCTCACCTGGTGAGTTATTTTTCGAGGAAGTTTAACAAGAATCAGTTAAACTATTCTGTGATTGAAAAGGAGACACTTGCTTTAATTTTTGCATTGCAACACTTTGAAGTATATGTTGGATGTAGTGTACAGCCTTTGATAGTTTTTACGGATCATAGTCCATTGACAATTCTTTCAAAGTTGTATAATCACAATCAGAGATTGACACGGTGGTCACTCTTCTTGCAAAGTTACAACCTGGATATTAGGCACAAGAAGGGAGTTGAGAATATTCTAGCGGATGCACTGTCACGAGACACAATCCTATTCAACCGTGTGACGATGACTTCTCTCTCTGCCAATCGCGTTCGTTGCAGAGCCCTTTAAAAACGGAAGCGGCAACGGGGAGAGATCAGCTCTTGTTGTTTTGGCGTGTTGTCTGTTTGGTGGAGTCCGTGTGCGTTGTCGCTGTTACTGATGTGTGGTTTGATTGAGATCTATTGATGTTGACTTTGAGTGAGTAACTGATGACTTTGAGTAAGATTTGTTTGAGAGTTCTGACGTGTGTTTCTACATCTATAGCCCGCTAATGCTCCATTCAAAACCTTCTGTGACTTGACAAGGGAGATCTGGAACAACATAGTAAGTCACGTGACATACATATTTGCACGCAGGATTATTGATGTATAGACACACTAGTTAGCGAAGTGCGCTAATTTTTTATTTTTATTTATTAGTTAGAGTAAGTTCAGGGCGCTTTGCGCTGAAGACTTTTCTTTTCATATTGTTATTTTCTTATTTAGTGGATTGGGGAGGAGATTAAGGAAATGTTTTTGTTATTTATTTCTTTGATTTCCATGCGCAAACTTCAGTTCCCTCTCCTATTTGTCTTGGTTCTTTTCAAATTTATCTTATGGTTTGTAAATATTGTAAATAATGTGGGAGCAATAAATCTTTTGCGGTGCTAATTTGTTGTTTGGTGTTTTCTTTTGCCATTCTTCAACATCAGTTTATACTTTGGTCATCTTTATGTTACTCCTTTTAATACCCTAGACAAATTGCCATCAAGGATCGTAACAGTGGCCATGTGTGTCACAATAAAAACAACATGATTCAGTGGATTCTGAGCATGTACAACTGCGTTCCAAGAGCTTTTATATTAAATTAGTGGTCAGTTTCTTCAGAGTTCACTTTTTAGCAATAATTCCACTTTTTTAGTCCACTTTAAGTAGTGACAGTCAATTTTCAATATTTAGCTTTCTGATATGTGAAGTTTCTCACTGGTTAATTTCCTTTTTCAGTTTATAAATAAATGCTCAGGTCCATATGTTAATTGTGAAACTAATGCAGATGTTGTTGCTCTTGTCCTGTAGTTGTGAGTGGGTGAAGCACCATGGCAAATGTTAAACAGCTGCTCAAGAAATCACTGGATGAACTGGTAGAAGATACATTAAAGGACTTTCAGTGGCATTTAATGAATGACCATAGAGAGATTTCAAAAGCTGAAATGGAGAATGCAGACAGGCGAAATACCGTGGATAAGTTGGTGTCATGTTTTGGATCAGAAAGAGCTGTGAAGATCACAGTGGACACTCTGAGGAAACTAAACCAGAATCAATTGGCTGAAGATCTGGAGAATACACAGAAGCAAGGTATTGTTTAATTCCCTGTCAAACTTTACAAATGTGATCATTTTCAGTTAAAATCTTTCATGTTAAAACCCTGTCCTAGCAATGGTTTTTGAGTCAGATGTATTGTCATAACATTTATTGAACAGCTTCTAAGCAATGCATTTAAATACATTTAATATTTTGTATATAGCTAATGTGTGTGAATATATTATTTATCTTCATTCATCTGAATTTGTTACTTTATTTATATGTGCAATTGTTATTTTTTGTATTGGGAAGCACAAGGCATATCTATGTTAATAAACAAAGTAAAACAAGAATGAAGAAGCTTAGAATAAGCTGTAAAACAAACATTTCTGAAACAGGAACACACTGTAAAGCCAGCTCACACTGTCCGTAATGTCTGTAGTGTATGAGTGTGTATGGATGTTTCCCAGAGATGGGTTGCAGCTGAAAGGGCATCAGCTGCGTAAAACATGTGCTGGATAAGTTGGCGGTTCATTCTTCTGTGGCGACCCCAGATTAATGAAGGGACTAAGCCGAAAAGAAACTGAATTAATGAATGAATACTACTCTCACTAAAGTTTATGTAAGAATTGGATTTCTGTAGTGTTCCCTCATCTTCTGTCATCAGGAGTCTGCATGGCTGTTAAAATAACTGAGCATTAGCAGAATCATAACTGCAAGATCTCTATCAAGCCTTTTACACAATTCATGCTTTACAAAGAGAGAAGACCTCCACAGATAAAACTATCAAAACAATCATTTACTACTCATTTGCACAGACAGAATAAACAATGATGGAAAATAGATTTGAGCAAAGGAAAACAAGAACAAAGATCAGTTGTAAAATAAACATTACTGGAACAAGAACACATTGTAAAGCCGGCTCACACTGTGCATGTATTAAATAATAATGAAGTTGTCCTTGGATCTTGCTTTGGAGGGCTTGAGCCCCTGCAGTTTTTCTTCTTCAAATGAAAGAGCCTTTTTCTGGGGACAAAAACTATAATTTTTTTCTTTTAAAAATAAAATATCTATATTTGTGTGCATGCTTTGTTTGCAGACAGTTGTTCCTGTGGGAAAAAATAAAAATAACTAAATAAATTGTTAGGTCAGGAAACATTGAGACAGCAAATGATCAGCAGAGTATGAAGTAATTCAAAAACCTGTAATAGACACACTTCAATTCTGGAGAATTATTTTTGAAACATCCTGCATTATTCTGAGTAATCAACTTTGTTTACATCAATACAATATAAGATTCAAGTCAAATCAGCTACCCCTGCTCATTCAACATACCATACAGGTGTCACGTCATTTAAATGATGAAACAAACGACTTCATGAGTGCTGTTGTTATTTTTTAGTATTGGAAAGCACAGGTCATAATTATAATTCACTTTAATAAAAACACTAATTGTTCCTCTCTCTTGTAAAGGTGCAGCTTCAGAGACCTGTAAATCCCCTCCTGTTGATTACACAAACACCAGCCATGAACTAAAGGAGAAGTTAAAGGAGGACTATAAGCAGATATTGATTGGTGATTCACAGACGGGTCACCAGAAGAAGCTGGATGATATTTACACTGATCTATATGTGGTGGAGAACGAGACTGGAGGAAGAGAGAATGACCATGAGGTGATACAGATAGAGTCAAAACACAACCAACAGACAGCCGAGGATAAACCAATCAAGTGTAATGACATGTTTAAAGTTCAGCCTGACACAGGTCAAC